AACTAGGGTTTAACAAATCAGAATTTTCTTCTATAACTTGAAGAATTTTAATTTAATATATATATTCCCTTCCACGGAAGACATTTGAGATTTTCTCCACTAGCTAGTTATATCTCTCTGTTTTTTTTTTTTAATTTCCGAAGACAGGTTTATTAGAATAACCTCATTTATTATGCATTTATTTTTAAGAGTTAAATTACACCTATGACCTACGGTTCTTGAAGCTTTAAATTTTGGTCATGGCAACCCTTATGTCCCTCAAGCTTTCCGTACGCGTAAAATATGATTCCTTCGTCCACTTTAATGCATAAACGTGGCAGCTTGTGGTATCCTAATGAACACGAGTTGTGTACCCTTATGTTCCTCATGCATATGTGACTCAAATTGAAAGCGTAAGGTTTTATGCTGTCCATAATTGAAGTCTGAAACACTAGGACCATATAATGTAATTAACCTTAATCATCGATTAAAACCAGCAAATGGGACACGTTTTGGATCATTAATTGTATTGGATTGACATAATTATATGGGGTAGGATGCATGTACGTACCACATTCATAAAATAAAAATGCTAAAATCAATAAAAAATGACAAGAACAAAACTTCCAGTATTGCGGGATTACAAGTAGATCTCACTTTAAGATTATGATTCAACAAGCCATATGTATTCTTGGAATTTTTTCTCATCACTCATCCTAAAAAGGTCTTTTTCCTTATGATCCGTCCCAGAATAGACATGGGACAGCAATGAAAATGTAAATGCCTGATGTTTGTAGCACGCTGTCGGGCATAAAACCAGTTACAATTGGGTGCAATCAGTCGACTTAAAAGACACAGACTTTCCTAGAATGTCATAGCCTATCAAGAAGTTCATTTGTGCAACGTTACCGAAGATTGCACCAGATTGAGTTGAGTTAAAGGCTAAGCACAAGACATCATCTGAAATTAAAATAAAGGTATTTAAAGTCTGGAGCACCACATCTGCACCATTGAAATGTGCAGTGATTACGGGAACCTTTAGATCAGGAGTAGGGCGATAACAATGACTCAGTAATCCACTTGCGTCTTGGGTGCGTTCCCCATTAATAACTGCATTTTCAACCGCTGTAGCAAATTCCGTGAAGAAATTTACTGGAAATAACGTCAAGGAAGTACCTGAATCAATGATGATGTTGCCCTCACTGCCTCCGAATGAAGAACCTCCGAATTCTATTTTCTTATCCCCTACACTCATGGCTTGTAGTGTTAGATAGTAAAAGGTATCTGGAGTTTTTGAGATTAATGGGGTTGATAGGACTCCAGAACCGGAAACCACAGCATTTCTTCCAAAATGTAATTTGCTCGAGTTTCCTGCAGATTCGGAGGAAAATGGCACCAGACAGTACGAGAATTTGCCACCAACAGAGGACCCCATTTGAGATATAAGGGACAATGGACCACCTCCAAGGCCAATAATACCTGAATCTTTCTTATCAAAGATTCCATTATTTCGACGCCCACAGCCAATGACAGTTTTAGGAAAATACACTGGACCGCCATTTGTCGAAGGCAAAGTGACTGTATCAACAGCAAGATTTCCATTGGTAAAGGACCGATCACCATAATAATACGAGTATTGGCAAAGCTGTTCGGAGGAGCAGGAACTACTCTCGACTAGGTTTTGGCATTGCCTTGTGTCACAAGAGAGGTCTCTATATGTCTTAGAGGATTTTGGGTCAAAAAGAGGAGCAATTTGCTTGTAACACTTGTCGCATGGCGTGCACTGTGTCCATATAAGGTCACTGCCCGTATCTGCTATAGCCAGGATCTCAAAAGGCGGTGTCCCGAGGGATAAACTCATGAGATATTCACCTCCATTAGCTATAATCTCAGATTCAAATTCTTTTGAAGAGACCGTAGCAGCAGTTCTCTGAAAATGGTGGACTCGACTAACGGATCGGCGCATAGCTTTGTTCAAACGTTGGAGGTGAGTTTGTTGAGAGTTGTAAAGGGGGGACTTTGGTGAATCACGGTGGACTAGTTTCATAGTAAATCCAGCATTGTGGGCACATATGCAGCCAAAACTAGCAACACAGAGTGCAATTGCTGAAGCAAAAGAGATAACAGATTGAAAAGTTGCCATGGCTATCAGACTAGAGAGATGGAGATGATTAAATGGTTCAAGGGTTGGGCTGTATATATACAAAGTTGGAATTCATGATTGCAAAGATCACAAATAAACGGAGAATCAATATTGATAGTTATGAATGGTACGATGATCCATATAAAATTAATTTGCCTTCCATTTAATCCGGATGCGTATAAAGGATTATTTTCTTTTTTCCTCTTGAATCATTTGGTGCGTGTACGTGTAACCATTGATGCGTGGATTCTCATTAATACTTTGGAGATGCATGGATTATCTCTCTAGTTTCTTACGACTGGTCAGTAACATTTATTGATTTGGGTTTTCTGTTATCTATCTATTTTATATTATAAAACGATAGTATATATGTTCTTATACATACTACTTATTTATTCTACCGTCATTTGATTAATGTGTTTTTTTTTTTTTGTTCAATCAAGTAATTCTACATAATAAAAGTTGTTCTCGTCATGTTAATAAATGAAAGGCGACAGCAGAGAGAAATCAAAGATTATTTAAAAAAAACTTTGAATAAAAAAATAATAATACAATATGTTATTTTTATCTTAATCAAATGAAAGGTCATATTATAATCTTTCTTTTAAGATTTATATATATTCCCCATATTTTTGTAGAATATAATCTCTTAAATTGTTTAAAAACTTTTCTTAATAAAAAAAAAAAAAGAGTTTAATTATGTTCATATGTTACACTTGTCGCGGGAGACACCTCAACAAACTAAAAAGTAAAAAAAAAATAGAAATCCCTACCTAATTTATGATAATTAAGAAACATAAATTGTCTTCAGAAATTCTAAATAAAGAGTTGGTTATGTGAAATAAAAAATTAAAATGAACCTAAAATATCATATCTAAAATAAATTACTTCATATTTGTTTTTATGATAATATATATATATATATGCATATTTGTTCGCTTGAAATGGTGTATGTGTTTATTGTTTATGATAAAAACTACTAAATCTTAATGATAATAATTCAGGATATGAGTCTAGAAACAATGCTCAATCCTCACTTTCAAAACATAGATATTGAACCCGAAAGAATAGTGAATAATAAATTAAATTATAAGTTAATTTCTTGCAATATATTCAAAATAAGCTTGAAGGCCTCTACTCACACTCAATAGATTTTAAAGAATTGTGTTGATTTATCCTAAGT